CCCCAAAACCCCAAAACCCCAAAACCCCAAAACCCCTAGCTAAGTTAAGCTATTGGAGTTTCAAAAATTATCATTTTTTATCCAATAAATTGATTATTCTCCGCAATCACATTCTTGATGCTTCCCTCCACAGATATAGCAAAATTCATATCCACACCGACAAGTGATATGGTCACATCCTTCCTTCTTCTGGACCCAGAACTTGCACTGACTGCATTGCTGGAACTTCGTCTCGTTGGCTAACTTGTAGAACATCTGGTCATCAGGACTTGCCTCTTTGATTTTAGAATATTTCTCACAAGTCCAACCTTCATGCCAAGGTACTTTGCATTTCAGACAGTGCACTTTGGAGCAGGAAGGACAAGACAGCTTGCTTGGATCTTTATTAGCATCCCACTCGAAGATGTAAGAACAATCTGGAGTCGGACAATGGTGATAGAACTGAGAATTGCTATCAATAAAGCTCTCGAACTGGAACCTTTCATATTTTTGGTACAGATCTTTCTCACAAATTTCTTTAACATCAAAGTCTGGGATCCGAGCATGACATTCTTTGAGCGGACACTTAATTGGGAACGACTTCACATCAACCTGAGTCTTGATATACATCTGGAGACACTCAATGTGGTACATGTGGCCACACTCGATGAAGGCGAGGTTCTTCATTTCAATTTTGCTGAAGCAAATCGGACAATCTCTGAAATTAGATTCTGAAGATATGGGAATTTTTGCTTCTTCACTTTGAACGTCCTTATCGTCTTTGAAAGGATCTAAAAGATCGAGAGGCTGAATTTTCCTAGAAGTAGTATCAATCTTTTCTTCTTCCTGGTACCGACTGCTTGGACCTGTCTTGGCTTCTTCATTTTCAGACTTCTCTTCAGTGATGCAGTTGTGCTTGCTGAGAACTTTAGTTTCTGACAGGATCCTAACCTCTTGGCTAGGTTTACTTTGGAAACTTGATTTTGAACCGAGGGTAGTAACCTTGGACTTCTGAGGAGTCTTTGACTCCTTGCTGGCTCTAAGCTTGCGAGGCCCAGCGGCCTTGGAGGTCTTTATGCCTCTGTAGTAGGTCTTGAGCTTCTCCTCCCTAGCCTTCATGGAGTAGAGAGGCTTGTAGCCTCCCTTGTTTGATTTCTGACTGATCCTGGTGTAGCTTGGGTTATTTCGCAAAGTGGGCCTGGTCGCAGTGACTGGCTTTGAAATATGCTTCTTCTTTGGCTCCAAGAAATATGAAAGGTCAAGGACTTCACGAGGAGTGGTCTGGGTGTAGAGATTCCGGAAAATCCTACGTGCTTGAGGGGAGGAAACTCCTGAAGAAGAGATCTTCTTCTGAATTTTTGAGGTGATTTCTAGTAGTTCACCAGCTTTGTATTGGGTATGGAATTTTTCATAGTTTAGACCCATGAGAAACATTAGGGACTGGTCGTAGCCTGAACATTCTGAACGGATCGATTCAAGAAGTCTGTTCCAGTCAAAAGTCGTGATTTTTGGTTTATCTGGCTTAGTTTTTGACAAGATTGATATCATTGGGCTTTAAATGAATTATATGAAAATATTATCTCCAATCTTTATTTATAATATCAATTACACATTCAGAATCAGGGGTTTTGGGGTTTTGGGGTTTTGGGG